CCACCTTGTGATTTCTTTATATTAGCCATGCTAGCATTGTGCACTTCGGGTGTGGAGTTGGTTGGCGGCTCACTTTCCATAAAACAAGATTCTTCACTTTGATGAGTACCATGGACATTGTTCCCATATTTTTGGTCCTTGGTTTGGTCCTCATCCTGGTCATTGCCGTAACTGCATAGGTAATATTCCTTTCCCGCAGCAAAAGCAAGGTGAACCAGAGGAATGATCGTCATCCAAATAGCAGACATTTCTTCCTCCCATTTTGACATTTCATCTGGAACATGGCTGTCCAGAAACAAGTCAATTAGTTCATCTATAGCAGCACAAGTGTCTCTGTCCAGCTTGATCAAAGGGGCTGAACGCATTCTAGCCAGGAACAGACAACAGTAGTACCTGATCAAGAGACATAAGTTAACAACCAAAATTGATGAGGTCTTATCTAATGCTAAAACCTGATCTCCCATATAATTTACTGTGGCAGGAGGGATCTAAGGGGAGGGTGCAGGGGTGTGCAACTCCTCGTGTTGCAATCGTGACAACTCTTGACGTATCTAGCATAGGAGGAAAGATATTCTGGGCCCGAACCATCACTGATTTTGTGAAGAAGTGATAGTTTTTTTGCTCGAATGATATTGTCAACTGGAAGCCAACCGTGTTGGAGGAGCTAACTATACAACTGTAGATGGCGATTTTCACCAGCAGCCAGTTACTTTTGGCAACCATTCCAAAAGAACCCCCATCCAGCACTGATGAGTGTCTGGTCCCACACCGCTGGGACCCTTACCCTATACTAGGCCATGGTCAGTTGGATACTAAAGTAGGCATCAAACACCCATACTCTATCCCAGACTAGCTATTTCCAATGCAGAAACTTTATCACTGTCGTAGTCCAACATACGCTAACTAAACCAATATCTTACAAAGTCACTTCCAAGTTCCAATTTCTAGTACAGAACCCCAGGTAAAGAGCCCGTTTTAGACTAAATTACTTATACACTGGCCACTTTTCTGGTTAATTATACCCTATTCTAGACCAAGACTGTCTGATTTCCATACCCTATCCCAAACTCAACTGCTTGCAAACCATACCATTCACAGCAGCACATACCCATACAGCTTATACATGGAATAACCCCTCCAGGCTGGTACCAAACCATATCTGCTTTGATTCGTCGACTAACACTTCACACTGCTTTGTACTTTTAGCCCACCATCTAACTGTAAGCCTGTTGAACACAGACAAATTTCCAGCTTTTGATTCACCTACCCAAAAAAAAAACAAAAGCTGGAAATCTTCTGTGTTCACAAGCTATCTTGCTGTGCGCCCACCCCACCAGAGATTTGATCGCGTAACTAGGGGCTAATTTAGACAATTCAACTTTGCTGGATACAGCAAGCTTAGAAGAAGATTTTACATTTTGTGTTATGAAATGTACATTTAGTTGAAATTATTGTGACATATTTATGTTAAACCCCATGCCAATCATAGAATTCTGCAATGTCGTATGTTGTAAGCTACAAGTTATTTCTGATTGATGCAAGCAGTGTGTAAACAAGTTCATGTGACAAAGTTGCATCAATGTGATGGTGTAATTTGGTCAACATACATGTAGGTATAAACTCTGCAATAGCTCAGACATTGATTGCATAGGTTTTGGTTTACCATAAAAATTAAATGGCAGATCTGCAATATATCTTCCCACCTTAAGGGGGTATCGTTGTCCTTGTCAAGGCTTTTTGTGATATTCACCATTTTCCCTAAAGCACCACAATCCACCAATGGCTGGGCAGATTTGACATTATATGTGCAGTACAGCAGAGCTTTACAAGCCTCCTGGCTTGCAGACGGTGAATATCCTGCAGGCTCTGATTGGTACCTGTCTGTCATAAAGAGTAACTTGTCAATCAGTGGTGGCATTTTTGACACTTCCTCCTGAATGTTGGCATCATACTCTACAAATCTAGAGAGGACAAAAGAGAGTCAGATATTGATACATGTATACCTCATACTCAAGGAGGAAACTCCCTTATACCTAGATGGAGTATTGTTTTGGCCTCCCTGCCCTTAACAGGATTAAACTTTATGCAAGTCTGTCCTACACAAGTTGAAAGGGTATTGCTGGACAATTATCATTGTTAAACAGAGAATAATACATGGGAGCAAGTAGATATGGAATTTCTCCTTGAGCGTTTAACTTAATTGATATCTTCTGAGGAGTGTAGTGAATGAGTGAGATGCAAAGTTGAACATGAAAAGAGAAATTCCATATCTACAAGCAACCATGTATTACATTGTATTTTATTTTATAAATATACTAATAATGACACTTTTGATGATTTTTGAAGATTCTCCAGAAGTCCAGTAAGCCATTTGGCATGTCACGTTCTCACTGGAATTCCTAAAAATATGTACTTCATTCCCAGGGGATACTTCCAGAAAAATTGGGTAGGGGTGTACAGCCTGCTTCCCAAAACCCTTGCAACTCCTTGAAAACTAGTTAAAGATAAGCAAAAGTTGCTCTCACTTGCAGCTACCAAAATCTGAAATTTCGGTGGGAAGTCAAATGGAAAGGTCCATTTCGATCCTTCTGACCAGAATATTCAGGATCATCCCTGGAGGTGGTCCACTTATTTCAGTCGGAATATTCCAACCGAATCTGCTGTTCCGTTTTTGACAAACCAGTTCATTTCCCTACTTCTTTTCACTTATCTAGGGAATTCGGAAAAGGAATAAACTATGGTAATAGCCACTCCTCTTGATTGGCCCAGTTTGATCAGAAAATGTTGTTCCATTTTCCTTGGGTATTCCCACTGGTCTCTGACTGGTCCATTTGGCAAAATGAAAGCACCCCACATGTAATAAATATCATATTTGGACATAACGCTTGTTTTAGGATTTTTTGTTGGGAATCTTTTAGGGCTTGCAAAATGAGATTCGCAGCTTGTGGCTCACAGCTCGAGGCTCGGGCTCACAGACTCGCAAAGTAGCCTCCCCCTCATTTTTCACTCATGAAATGTAACTTCATAAATACACCAACTGTTACATTCTCATAATAGCAGTGAAACTAGAAAACTGTAGGCACAGATTAAAAACATGCTCACTGTGTCAACAATCATTAATCATACACACATGTACTTTCTGAGTCAACAAAAACTGAGTTTTGAGTCTACACCATAAATACGAACTACAATAATTAATTGCTTCTCAAAAAATGGAAGGTTCTTTTTTATTTGAACCCCAGCTCCTCAACCCCTCTGGAAATTCCACTTTTAGCTTTATAGAGGCCTAATTATACTTCATTTAGAACAATTGACTTTTGAAACCCCTTCCAATAGGCCTTTCCAATGACATTCCAAATAACACACAAGTGCAAACATCTCATGATATTTACACATTTACTTAGATTGATTGGGGGCAAGCAGTGTGAATATAGACCCACCCTGAGCAGCATTCAATAGCAGCTTCATTTACACCAATCACTGCCGACCTTGACTCATACTCCCTTGGGGAGGCTGGCTGAAGTAAAAGAGCATCAATCACATGAGGAAAAACACCTTTTGACAAAATAAACTTCTGCTCCTCTCTCGCCTCCGCAAAGCTCCCCAAAAGATCAAGACAAAATTCATGAACGTTATGTTGCTGCATAACAACTTGCATTGCAACTTCAGGGCTGCAGAACAAAAAATGTCAATAATTAAAAATAACATTTTAATAATAGTAATAATAATAACTACTTATTAACCAAGAGTGAGGTCTTTAAGGAAAAACCTCAGTCTGAGACCCTGCTGTATTGACCTCGCTGCAGAGGTTTGAGATTTTCCTGTAAAGACCAAATGTTCAAGGTTAATAAGTTGCTTATTATATGGCTTTTTGCTTTGTTTTTGCATGCCAGTAATCGGCCCATGGGCATTACGGGAGAATAATGCCCTACAATTAGCCAATCAGAGTAGGTGTTATATCGGCTACAAGAACAAGCCATATAATAATTAGCTCTTATTGACCGAGCAGGAGGTCTGTATGGGAGAATCTTGACCGAGGT